ATCCTTCAGATTTCAAAACATCCTCATCCAAAATGACAGATTGTGGGAAAGTCAGCAAAGGAAAAGAAAAAGCATAAAATGGATTCACTCAACACAGAGAAAGAGAAGATGCAGAAAGAAAAGGAACTAACTTCATCATGTGGAATAATTTCATCATATGATGAAGTAGGTATTATACTAAGAGAGACCTGACCTGCAGTGTTCCTTTAATTCTGGTCCTAAAACATTACATTAGCTATAAAAAAAACAACAAAGAAATAAAAATAAAAAAACTGGTTCAAATTACAAGTTTTACTGCAAGGTGCTGACTGGAACAGGAATTTTGAGAGATCTTCCTCATATTTTTTACTGTAGACTCACCTGATCCTAAACTTTACTGTTTGTTTCCTCAAATGTTTCCTGATTTCATTACAAAAACAAAACTTTAACGTATCTCACTGTAATGCCCATGCTGTCACACATGAGGACATGCTAAAAAATAGATATACTCATCAATTTGCAGCATTATTTGTAGATTGATGCACCGTTTTTGTGCATAAATCCAGTAGTCTTGAACAAAGTCAAAGAGCTGAATCTGTGTTTGATATGATAATGGAAAAAAGAAGTCTCTTTCATTTTGCAAAGGATTGGATGGGTTTTCAAAACTACACCTGAGAAAACATAATACAACTATATAGAACTAACATTACAAATTCAAGAGGTGAAACATTCACTTGTTAATACCAAACAGTACTAAAATGCTAATCACAGAAAAAAAAAGAGGATGCACACTTTTTCATTCTACTGTTATTCTCTCCATGTTGATATGTTATGATATAAGTTCAACTTCAATTCAATTCAGTTTATTTATATAGCGCCAAATTCACAACACATGTCATCTCAAGGCACTTTACAGTTCAACCAGATCATACAGTCAAATTGATACAAAGTTTTCTATCTAAGGAAACCAGTTGATTGCATTGACTCATTGACTCAAATACAATCCCTCACACTAAGCACGATTGTAGCGACAGTGGAGAGGAAGAACTAGGCTCAGTGTGAGCGGCCATCTGCCGAGGCCGACTGGGTTTCAAGGAGACAGAAGCAGAGATACAAAAAGCAGCTGTAAAAGGCGGCCCCGTCCAGGAAACACACAGCCAGGCAGACGAGCCCAGAGCCAGCTCCCATGCCAGAGGACGAAGGGAGCTCATCCACTCAGTCACGGTCAGAGAAACAGGACTACACTGGAAAACAGGCCGATCTCCAGCATCTATAAACAAGGGTGTTGATGGAAGCAGCATAGCTGATGTTTCTTTCCAGGATGCCGTCACAGCCAAACAGTAACAGACGAGGCAAAGCTACTCTGAGGAAAAGCAGAGAGAGCAGAACGTTAGAGATTGAACTAACAGATTCTGCAGAATAGGAGATAGAGAGAGAATGAAGCAGAATGATGAAATGGGGGTCCCTATGTCCTCCAGAAGTCTAAGCCTATAGCAGCATAACTATAGAGATAGCTCTGGATAACCTGAGCCACCCTAACTATAAGCGTTATCAAAAAGGAAAGTTTTAAGTCTAGCCTTAAAAGTAGACAGGGTGTCTGCCTCACAGACTAAAACTGGTAGTTGGTTCCACAGGAGAGGAGCCTGATAACTAAAAGATCTGCCTCCCATTCTATTTTTAGAAATTCTAGGAACCACTAGTAAACCTGCAGATTGAGAGCGAAGTGCTCTGTTAGGAACATAAGGAACAATCAGATCTCTGATATAAGATGGAGCTTGGCCATTTAAGGCTTTATATGTGAGAAGGAGGATTTTAAATTCTATTCTTGATTTAACAGGAAGCAAATGAAGAGAAGCCAGGATAGGAGAGATATGATCTCTCTTTTTAATTTTCATCAGAACTCTGGCTGCAGCATTTTGGATCAGCTGAAGGCTTTTAACTACAGCTTGTGGACTTCCTGATAGTAAAGAATTACAATAGTCCAGCCTTGAAGTAACAAATGCATGGACTAGTTTCTCAGCATCACCCCTGGACAGGAGATATAAGTGGTTGAAAGTGAACATAAAAGTCAATTTCTTGGACTCAAAATTGGCCAATAAAGTTGATCCTGCTTTTAATTACACTTTTCTGGATAATTTCCACACATTAACTGAAAACATGCCTCATATTCTCAAAATTCTACATACAATTCCAAAAACATGCACATAATCTTCCAAACTCACCAGTTCTCCTGCAAATTTACATTTATTTTTATTTATTTTTTTTTTATTTAATTTTTTTTTATTCATTCATTTCATTGAATACAAAAAACAGCCTATCAAATTTTTGATATACTAAAAAATAAAAAATACACCTACATATCCATCTGTATACATTACATACATATATACACACAGACATACTACATATGTATTTCAAAATTTTAAAACAAAATGAAATGAAAGGCAGCAGAAAGAAGAAAAAAAATCTTATAATATCTGCCCCTTTTTTTCTCAGCTCTGAAACTAAACAGGGAAAAAAAATGGTTATCTTCTGCAACAAAAACAAAGTCAGTCGTCAATCTCAACTAAACAACGATAGTATGAGCTCTCTTTATACTATTTCATACTTCTTCAAGAATCCAGTCTTTAACATTCTCTTAAACATGTGCAGTGATTTGACATTTTTAACATCATTTTGTAGTTCGTTCCACAGTTTGACTCCTTGTATCGAGGTACATCGTTCTTTCAAACTGGTTCTGAATTTGGGTTTCTTAAAAATCTGTGTCCCCTTAAGGTTATAACTGCTCTCTCTCTTTGCAAAGATGTTTTGAATGTTTGAGGGTAATGTATTTAGGTGTGCCTTATACATAACTAACAAAATATTATAATCAACTAAATCATAGAATTTTAATAACCTCAATTTACAAAACAATATATTGGAAATTTCACTTTCAAAACAAAATACATTTCCAATCATCAAATGAATGTACATTTGTAAGAACTGTTTGAACACTGATGAGCTAGGAATAAATCACTGTGAGGAATGTAAATCAAGAAATTGACCTTTTCATTTCAGGGTTATGTTTTGTGCAGACCGTACATTAGTGCTGTAAAAAATATTCACATTTTTTTTTTTTTATTATACTCCCAAACTCAAAAGACACAAAAACAGAATAGGTTAGGGGGTTGGTGCACTAGTTACATTGTGACTGTCCGTTCATTGTGCCTGAAGTACCAGTTCATGTGTGTGAACAAATGAAAAATACAGTGAAACCGAAGGCCTCACATCCTCATGAAAACTGTGCTAAATGCTTAAGATTTTTGTGAAGTGTTTTAAGAGGAGAGCAGGAATTTAAGGGGGTGAGAAAAACCGTAAAATGCCATGATCTGTCTTTCTCCAACACCTTTGGTAAATAATAATACCGGAAAGAAGTGATTTTAACCAGACTTAAGCTTCTGACAATCAATAACAAGGTATTCCTTTTACTGCATTTTAAATTTTACTGAAAAGAAAAAGAAAATAGAAAAAGAAGAAAGGAAAAACATTATTTAATGTAACAGAGAAAACAAGATAGTCAACCAAATAATGGGAAGATTACACAAGGACAAATATGAGAGGTGTAGATCTATTCACACATGGAAATTATTGTTATTTATTCATTTATTATTTATTGTATGGATCTTTTAACTTAGGTTACAACTTTTTGCAAAGGAGAGTTGGTAAGAAATACAAAATTAAACGTAATAACCCAATGAAATCTGGTCAGTAATTTTAATTAGATTTATTTTATTTATTTTAGATTTAATTAGATCAGAGCATTAAGGTTTATCAGTATAGTTTGAGGTTTTAGACACTTTCTATAGTTGTCAAACTAAAAGTAAGATGCTATAACCTGTCTTCTTGTTATCTTAAACTAATTTCTTATCAAGCATATTTTACTTTCAGCTTTCCAGTCATCTTGGTTGGTCTGTCAACACTTTGTATATTTTAGGTAATTTTGGCAATTTTATACTTTTAAATAGTTCATTGCTTGTTGTAATGAACCATTAAGTCGTTTTTTCAAATTATTTTTAAAGAACTTTTTTTTATCAACTTCGTTTTTTTAGATGTGCTATTTAAATGTATTTTGTCATTGACAAATCCATGTCTAATTAAGAGGCTGCTTTATTTGACTCTAGGTTAAGAATTCAAGAAGAGAGTCTTTAGTTCATTTAAATATATATATTAAGGTATAATTTTAAGGGTGAAATTAAGAAGGAAATCCATTTTGAGGTTTCACGCTGGATCTGAAATAAAGGTTTACCGGATCATAATGATGCATCTTTTGGTGATTTGCAGTTTTCAATTTAAAAGTTTAAGTAGAAGCGCACCCTCATGCAACCACGTTTTGCAGCTTCCTGATGTTTATGTTTTACTATTGATTTTAAGAGCAGAACTAGGTAAGATATGCCTTATTAAAGATTTAAATAATAATAATAATCTAACATGATAGTTTTCTAGATCTCAAAAACCTCGAATTGCAAAAGTTTCTTGTTTCTGCAAGTTTTTCCTCCACCTCAATCAGCTCTTTCCTCATTCATCCACTTCCTTCTCTCACTGTCCAGCCAAGCCCTGTCATCTTCATGTTCTTCAGAATCGCTCTGTTATTATTTGTTACCCGATGAACTCAGGTAAAATCACGTGTTAGCACACCCTGCAGCTGCACCTAACCAGGTGATTCATAGGTGTGGTCGAAAGTTATAAAAAAATATATATTTTTTTACTTATTTTTTTTAAACATAGCGACGTGTATTTATATACAGTTTTATTATTATTTTTTTTATTTATTATTTTACCTGACATTTTTTTTTTTAGATGATTTGAAAACAGCTATTTGTCTGTAATGCTCCTTGTTTTCCAAGCGCTGTCTATCAATAGTTTTATAACCAACTATGATAACACATAACAGGTTACATTGGTTAAGCCCCGCCCCTCTCACCCTCTGCGGAACCTGATTGGTTAAACTATGTTGACAAATCAGAGATTACGAAAAGCTCAGGCAGTGACGTCTACTAGTGACTCTGTATTTAACGGTGTAACCACGCTAGTTTGCTTGCTTTTACCCACTTTGCTAAAGGACTTTAGTAATTCAGCTCTGTTTTGTGTATTTTGGCTCTTCGGGGAAACATTAACCGTTAGTTGTAACTCTAACACGGCTGTAATATGTAGCATGGGGAACATAAAGGGCAAAGCAGCTGTCAAAACGGTAAGAGTGGGAACACCCAACGGTTGAAATAATCTCACAGATGTACAGCGTCGCTTTATTTGTTGGTATTAAACGTGCAAAGATGAAGCGCTACGCAAAATGCGGTTAAATAGATTTAAATATGATTTAGGGAGAAGTTTAAAGTGCCCTCATCTTTCTTTCTTCCGCTTTCAGTGTCAGACGGTGCTAATGTGTGACCCACTCCTCACTCGCATGACCACGGATCAGTCCTAGTGGAAGACAGACCATCATCATCATCAGTGTGATGGAGTTAGCAGGCGGATTTAGCGTGGAGGGGAGCTCCAGTCCCCCCGCTGTGCCCTCCACCATGTCCATAGACAGGCTGCTGCCTGCTCTCCTGGAGTGCTTTGGGATCATCCTGTGCGGGTACATCGCAGGCAGGGCTAATATCATCACCTCTACTCAGGCCAAAGGTTTGGGAAACTTTGTGTCAAAGTTCGCGCTCCCCGCGCTGCTGTTTAAGAACATGGTGCTGTTGGACTTCGGTCACGTCATCTGGCCCTTCCTGTGGGGCATCCTAGTGGCCAAAGTGTCTGTGTTTTGCATCGTCGGTGTCCTCACCCTGATAGTGTCCAGTCCTGATAGTCGCTACAGCAAAGCGGGTCTCTTCTCAATATTTGCAACCCAAAGCAATGACTTTGCTTTGGGCTATCCCATAGGTAAGTGCTTTTTTCTTGTATTAATATGAACCTTATATTAATTTATTTCTCATTCTAAAGAAACAAACAAACAAAAAATTCAGTCAAATAAAGACAATGATTCAAGTAAACAAAGTTAACTAGAAATTTTAAATTAGCCCCTAACATGATGCAGCCACTACCATGCATGGCAGTCAAAACAGTTGTTTAACATTTAAAAGTTGTGACTACTTTTAGTAAAACTCATTATTGTGGTCAAGTAACTCAGTGTTTCCATTATCTGCACATTTCCATATTTTTGCTTAAAAGGCATATGGCATGTGTGCACAGTTGTAAATGTCCCTTTGCCAGCTGCCGGTTGTATAGATGCACAGTGTAAAATTACTGGACTGATGAGGAGTTGGTTTTAAATTCTTCCCCCAAAATAAACGGGAACGGTTTGAAACTTTTCCACCAGACATTAAATTAAAACAACTGATAAGCTCAAAGCAATTAAAATGGCTCAAAGCATTTTAAAGGAGCTAAAGCAGTGATATTCATGTCATTAAAGGATGTATTCTAACTCCTCACCTTTACTGCAGATGTCATTTTTAAACGCAAAATAATTGTGTAAATGAAACAATTCAAGTAAACAAAGTGTCATCTAATGTAATAATTGAGCCTATGTTTGCCTGACAGAAAAACAGAAAATACGTGGCCTTTTTTTTCTGCAGGTTGTGACTCAGTTTAACAGTTGGAGCAGGATAAACCTGTTTTCAGTTCTTATTTAAAGTTGAGGCAATATTTCCATACAATGTCAGTTTTTTTTTTTTTTGTTGCCAGTGGCTAATGCTTCTGTTTCATTTATTGCTTTCAAACTACTTCTAAAATGACATTTGTTTGCTTTACGTCTCATGGATTCTCCATGTTTCATTCTAATACATATATTGAAGTCATTAATATGGGAGAGTCGCATGAAGGGCTTTGTTCATTATGATTTTTATTATTGTCGGTAAGAATTGCTAGTAGATAAAAGGTTTAGGAAGGGAATAACTTTGAAAGTGGCTGGTAAAAATAAAAAAAGCTTTTTTTTTTTTGCACACTTAATCACTTTTCTTTCTTATTTGAAGTTATTTTTCCCAGTTATTATCATAGTTACAATCAGTAAGCGGTATTTGTCCTTATGTCCTTCAATAGGAATGTCCCAGTCATAATGTATATCCTGAATATATAGAGACTGAAATGATTAAAATCAGACTACACATATGGAAGATTACTGTTTAAAGTGCAATTAACAACAGTACATCTGATCAGTATTTTGGTCAACAATATGTTTTTTTGTGTTTTTACCAAAATAACCCAAAAGGCAGTGTCAATAGATGTTTAATTGTCTATTTGCACAAAGATAAGTTACTGTTTTTGCTTCATAAAAGGAACTTTTTCTCTGGGTTTGTCTAGTTTCATGATACTTATTACTGTTCTTCTCCTTGCTGGTGTTTTGATCATACCAGGTCCAACAGTCTTTCTAAAATAAGGAATGTGCATTAACGATATCATACAGTTTTGTAAGCCATATACATTCAAAGTGACCTTACAGAAATTGGCTATACAAATTGCAAACATGATGCTAATCCTTTCTGATTTGAATAAAATAGCTTGCCATTTGAGAATAAAATGTATTCAAATGACTCCCAACCCCTGACCAATCAGCTTTATTTTATATTTATTTGGGTCTTGAATTGGGCATCATTACTTTCCACTTTAAGGTCAGCAGTGATCTTGCTCTTTTTCTTGTTAAATGTTTTTCTTTTTCTAGGCAGATGTGTACTGATGTGGATTGTGTCTTTAATATGCTGTATTCTTTACTATACTTTTTAACTAAAAATAACAGAAAATATTAGTGAAACTATTGTTTTACCTTATTTCTTGACTCATATGCCTTAATCTCTGTCCACAGTTGAAGCCCTCTATCAAAGTACATACCCAGAGTACCTGCAGTATATCTACCTGGTTGCACCAGTGTCCCTGATGATCCTAAATCCCATCGGCTTTGCCCTATGTGAGATCCAAAAGATGAAGAACCAAGGAAACCGCCAGCAGAGAAAGCTGGTGATCGTGGGACATGTAATCTTTCAGGTCTTAAAGAATCCCATTGTATTCATGGTCATCGTAGGAATCATCGCCCACTTTGTCCTGCACCAGAGAATCCCTGCTTTCATGGCTGAGTTCATAGATGGCTTGGCCAACTCTTTTGGTGGAGCAGCTTTGTTCTATTTGGGTCTGACCATGGTGGGCCAATTAAGGAAGCTGACCAGATCCACTGTTGTGATGCTGATTTTGCTCATTACAGCAAAACTGTGAGTGGAATTTGATGGACCTTTTGAAAAAGTAGTACTGCATAGTGTTTCAGGGCGAGTGAAGTAAAGTGCTTCAAATGTGTTCTGCTGTTATAACGGGAGGAATGACTCAGGAGTTTTTCAGACCACAAGTAATTACAAAACTTCATGTTGTGGTCTAGGAGCATGTAGCTTCTTGTCATCTGGTGTATATGAGTTGCTTAGCTCCCCTCACTACACTATTTATTTATTTTTTATCAATTTATTTTTTGGACTTCCAGGTTGGTAATGCCACTCATCTGTAAAACTATGGTGGATCTTCTGGATAACACCAGCAACACCACAAACCACTCCAGCCTCTCAGATTATGCCTTTCTTTACGGAGTCTTCCCCACCGCACCAAGCGTGGCCATCTATGCTGTCTACTATAACACAGAACTAGAAGTTGTGAGTAACTTACTATATGAACAGCAGCTTTTTTCTTATTTTTCTTGTTTGCTTTTTTCCTCTGCTCAGTAGTTTTCTGAACATGTGCTTTGTTGTGGCAGGTGACTGCTGGGATGGTGATCAGCACTTTTCTCTCAGCTCCCATAATGTACGTCTCAGCCTGGCTGCTTACCATTCATTTAATGGATCCCCAGTCTTTGATGAATTCCCTTGAGACGGTCAGCTTTAACATGAGCATAGTGAGCTTAGTGGCTCTGGTAAGTCATTGTGTAACATGCACAGACTTATTCATACACTGCTTTTCACCAGACTTTCTTCAGTTTGATCTTAGTTTTTGTAATGGATAATAAAGTTGGTTTAATAATTAGACCCAGTTTACTGTATCCATCCATTTCTCCTCTTCATCCACAGTAGCTTCCTTTTAAAAGACGTGATGGATATTTATAAAACATGTCTTTTTTAAGCTTTAAAAGACTAACCGATCTGTCTCTAAACGGCTCAGCTGTTCAGAGGGTGAGTTGCTTCTCTGATGGTTCACTGAGTCAGACCAACTTCCCTATTCTCACTTTCAGTGCCACATTTAAGGAACTACAAATATTGCCCTCAGTGGTGAAAGCTGGCTTTGTGTTTTGCCTCTGTGTATAATTTCACTGTTCCACTGTTATCAGAAAAGGCTTATTTCCTTATTTCAATTGGTTCAAAATGGATACTTTATCTCCAATATATTAGAAGAAAGCTTTAAAACTTAGGAATTGGAAATTGCGGGGAAAAAAAGAACAGATAATAAAGCCAAAGACTGGGGATGTGTGGAACTATGTACTTAAGCAAAAGGGCTGAACATTGTGACAGAATGTGATGATTTCTAAAGATTTCTGTAGATTATCGGAGGAATTCAATGTCATCACCAGACGGTAGTATGTTAGATACCTAGCAGACCAGCACCCTAGAAGGAGTTTATATGTACTATGTAATGCCACCCTGTCTCCACATTGGAGAGCGTCTGCTTCAGGTAAATGTATAAATCTAAAAATAAATACAAAAACTGGCAGCAGTAGGTAGATTATGTGATTCATACACATATTCTTACAAGCACTGGCATTAAAACTAGCTTTTTTTAAGCAACAATTACATCAGAGTGAGCTGTCTATTGTTTTTGTTAAACAATATACAGTGATTGAAACCAAAAGTCTCAATTTTCCACCACTCTGTTCTTTTTTTTTTACTGTACCTGGCACAAAGCAGTTAAAATAGAGGCCCCACCAAATAGTTGTTTTTTTTTTAAACCTTTCTTTAGCATATGTGGTATTTGGCTGTACAATATAATTTCTAGCCAATGTACTGTAGGTGATGACAGCATCAGAGCTGCTGCAAGTAAGTCAAATAATGAAATGTAATTTGTTCATATGGCTCAGGCACTGAGGGGAACAATGGCCACTTAATCTAATTGTTGCTTTTAGACATTAATGATGTATTTTATGAGGTAAAAGTTTCCTCTTGTAGTTCAGTAATGTGATCTTATGGGGCCTGTGAATGTTTGCTACACACAGAGGGGACTAAAGTAAAGACCGGCGTACTAGAGAAACTTTATGTTCACAAATGACGCCTACAGTGGCCATGATGGCCTGGCTACTGACTGTGGGACAGGAGTTTGTCTTCCTGTGGCATGAACTTCTTTGTGTCTTCTATCAGTAGCTTAGGGTGGTCCATCCCCTTAAGTAAAATTAATTAACCAGCGCTAATCTCTTCAGGTTGTGAGTTTAACAAATATTGCTCACTTAGAGTGTCTTTTGGTGAAAATGATTCAATCCTGCATTCATGGAAGCCTCTTTCTATTTTAAAGCGGCAAAGCTCTAAAGGCTCTTTTATTTTTTAATAATTCTTTTATAAATTGGAAATTGTATAACATTTCTATGAAATGCAATGTTTTGAATCCAGCAGAAAACAATTTAGTGAGTGTAAACGTCTGTGTATAGCTAATTAGAATATTTACTTGTCCATTTGTTCCCCCCACCAGTTGTGGACAGTTGCTGTCATGTTTTTAAGTAAAAAGTTTAGACGGCTACCTCACGTGTTTACAGTCAACCTGTTCCTGGCACAGGTAAGCTTGCTACTAAGCAGTATTAGTTTTATTTGTGTTTCCCTCTGAAATAAACCAACTTAATAACAGCAGATGTCTTTAACAAAGTCTTTAACTGCATGGTTGGTGCTGTGGTTTTCTAGCTGTTAAGCTGCATTGGGATGATTCTGTGGAACTTTGTGGTGAAGGAAGACAACTTCATCGCACAGGTCTTCACTTTCACACTGCTGTCTACGTCACTCTACAGTAGTTTCCTGTGGCCAGGTAAGCCCACAGCACATTTGGGTATATGCAGAATCCTTTCCACTCCCGAATTAGAATTTGTTTGTTTTGTAATGTAAATTTTCTTTGGTTTTAGGCTTAATAGCACTCTCGATTGTTCTCTTGAAAAAGTATGAGGATCTGAAAGGAGCATCTGGTGGCCTGGTCATTGCGGGCTGGGGGTGAGTCACTTCTCATTCTCAGGAAATCCGAGCTTTATATCAAAATATGACAGAGTATGGTTTATAAAACATGATCGTACAAGCGTGTGTTTTCTCAACCTCTAGTTGATCTATACTCTATAAAGAAAACAGGCCTAAATCCATTAGGTTATATAAAAGGGATGTAGAAAATGTGGCAAAAACCCATCTGTCATCCAATTAAAAAGAAAATGTAAAAAAAAAAAAAAAGATGTTGGGGAAAAAATTTAAGATGGAGGACTCCTGGTGGTGACATGTAGGGAGAGGACGCACATGTGGAGGATTCCGTTTAAACTTTATTCATCATTGGTTTTTGAGTTTTTATTTTCCAGCCAAAATTTCAGCATTATCCCCTTTGCTTGTTTGCATTTGCAATGAAATGAGCAACTTTAAAGGTTCTAAAACATCCAACACTGTGCAAACTGCGGTAACACCTGCAGCTGGGCAGCTAGTATCATTTGCACCTATCAACCAAACACCTGAAAAGACGGCTGTAACTCCTGCAACACCTGTAACTATGGACCAACTGTCACCTTAATTTGCAAACCAGAGAGCCTTGCTCAGGGAGGATTTTTTTTTTCTCTAATTCAAAACACGGTTAGACCAATACAAGGTTCCCTGGATTTACTGCAGTCAATTATCAACTCATTCTAGAGCCGTCTTACCACTGTGAAGTTGTTACACTTCTGTATTTGTTCAAATACATGCTTTGAGTCACTCGTGCTCAATCGAAAAAATAAATAAATATGTATATATACATACTTAAAGATAAAATCCTTTCACAGGATCCCTTGTTTGGTGACATCTATGCTTCTGCTCTTTGGTGAAAAAAGGCCTGACGCTATTGATTTCTCCTTCTTCTATGGGAAACTACAGGTACAAAAGGCAGAAACAAATGCGTAATAATTTTTTTTGTAATTATAGCAATTTTCATGAGCTCTCAATGTTGTTTGTTAGATAATCTGCACCACAGTAGTGATCAGCTTCAGCATGCTTCTGGGAGGAGGCTCTTTGGTGTGTCTCAGCAGAGGAAGCTGGACCCAAGATGAACAAAACCAGGCAGGAAACTCTTCATCTGAAGCTACACAGGATCAGGTGACCGAGGCAGAACCAGATGCTCGGACTCTCATAGAGGCAGGAAATGGAGCCGGTGGAGGAGGTACTTTCTATTGTGAAAAGGTTTACAATTCTTTATTTATACAAGTCATCATTTAAATGTCTGAATGGCTACTTGCCATTGTCCCAGCAGGTAGATTAAGTGCTATGACTGAAAATATGTAAACAGTCCCCTGACCATTAATGGAAAGCAAATGGCCAAAAATATAGATATGATGGGTACTAATTGAATCCAATCCATTAACAAAAAAAAAAAAAGGAAAAAAAAGCAGTTTGATTATTTTATCATCATCTGCCGTGCAGTATTTGAGCATATGACATTTTGGTTGCTATGTATTTAAATCAAGTTCAGTGAACACAAAGATAGGACAAACATTATGATGGTAGTAAAAGAGAGAGCAGGGAGGAAAATTATTAATCACATAAGCAAATATTTAACAATATTGTCATGTTTTTTTGTACCATGGAGCCTTACAGTGTTTGTTTTTTCAATGCAAAGTAGTTCATGATGGTGAAGTAGAAGAGGGACTGTTTTCATATAAAAAAGTATGGCAGTTGTGTTAAACCCTCTTTACTCTAAAGCTCCTAAATAAATGAAAACCTGCTCCTAGCCATCATATCTCCCTGTGGACCACAAAACCATAGTCGAGGATGAAGTTGTGAAGAAAATTAAAGCAGGGTTCACAACAGAGTGCATAAATCACTTTCCTAAAAATATATAAATAAATTATTTTTTGGGTGTGTGTTTTGGACTGTTAAACGGGAAAGATGTCTGGTTGCTGTAAACAATGTTTGTACTGTTTTTTGTTAGTAATACAGACATGAATAGAAAAATTTTTTGTGTTTTGATTGCTCTATCAGAGTGTGTCAGATGTGCCTGTGCTGTAGCCACGCCCATGCCTGACATGATCATCAGCACCAATATGAACAACACCCCAGCATCACTCTCAGGTATTTTGTACTGACTATTTTAAATGCACCAGCTCTCCACAGGGAGGCATTTCAGACCTAAATCAAATATTTCTAATATATTTTATGAACTGTTAATGCACATTTAGGGCAGCCTTCTCTAGTGAGTGGCAATGACAGGTTATGTTCCTGTGCTGCCCTCTGCAGGTCAGTGTGAGAATGGTTGTGCATCAACAGACTGCCTCCTTGCTCGCATGGATGAGCTCCAAGAGGTTGCAGATAGGCAAGTGGTCCGACATGTGCTCCTGTGTCTCCTCCTGACAGTCTTCCTTCTGGCTGTAAGTTAAACAACCAGATCCTCACCAACCAGACAAACAAATGTGCATTTTCGATCTCTTTTCAGAGGAATGCCTTAATTTTAAAACCAAAATAAAAATTCTTATTTTTTTTTTATCCATTTCTTTTGGGTCAGTAAAAAAGTAACTGGTTACTAGTTAGAAGTGTTTCAGTCATGGAAATAAAAATAGGATCTAAACTTGGTAAAATGGAACATTTGACTCGGATTATGGGATTCCTTTCAGCCGGATCTGTATACATATCTGTACCAGATAAAGCAAGTGATCAGCAGATTTTTAACATTTGTCATGTTCTCCATATAACAGAACTTTTCCAGCTGTCTGTGGTTGCTTTACAACAACCTTCATGGGAGACTCTACTTGGAGCTTCAGTTCTTCTGTGCCATAGCCAACTATGGACAGGTTAGTCTCATCCATAAAGAGTAAATCTGTCGATCATGTAGATTGATTCTCTCATAGAAGAAATAATACTGCTTCTTGTTGTTAACAGGGATTTATCTCCTTTGCTCTTTTTGGGCTGGACAAGCATTTTATTTTACCACCATTGAAGAGGTAATGTATACAATAATGCCTTTTTTTTGTATTTTTTATTTATTCTTTTTAAGAAAGTTACCCTTCTTATATTAAGCAGAAGTTTCCAACTAATGTAAGACTTTAATGAATTAGTTTGAAAGATTCTTTAAACAGGTTTGAGTGATTTTATTTATTTATTTTTTAACATACCCCTGTACAGATAAAAAAGAAAGATGTTACCTTTACACCTTACAGGGTCCAAATTATTCACATACTAAAATATATACATACACACTCCCATTTGAGGAAAAGTCAAGCTGGAAATGGATCATTCTCGTTTTGTAGCCACCCATGATGTACTGCAATAATTCCTTCCGATATTTTGCTGCTGTCTTTATTAAAAATGTTGTAGATTATTTCAGTCAGTTTCATGGTACAGCTAATAGTTTTTAATGGAGTTCACATCTTGGCTTAAACAGACCTAGTCACATATAAAACTACTTACCGGTAAATAAGCTTATATTAACAAATGCATTTTAATCTCCAAATTAGATTATGTAAGCCAAGCTTTCATCCTCGGTGTTTACTTGGTCCTTTTTGAGCATGAAAACAATTTTGTGCACTGCGACTGATGATAATATATAAATATTGCTGTAAACCATCCGTCAGCAGTACCTACTCATGCAACCATCAACCTAAAAATGTTTTCCAAATGCTCCCACAGCATCTCCCCCCACTTCATTGAACACCAACATTAACCTTGTACTCCAAGTGCTTCTTCTGACTTATCCCTCTTGGCATCCATTATTGTTTTCTACTTTTTTTACACTTGATCTTTTTCACACCTTTGCTGGGAGTTTCCAACTCACTTGGCTCCATCACTTTCTTGTTTACTCATTGTACCTCCAGTTACTGTAGGTAGTCCTGTTATGGTAAATTCACCAAAATCATTCACTGTTTGTTTAATATATGGAGTAAGGAAACTGACTAAAACACAGAACATTTAATAATTTGTATGTGGAGTATGTAACTAGACCCCTTTTTAATTTAACTGTATTTCATTTACACTAAAAGTGGTTTTGATGCATGTCTTGAATCGTTTGCCTGTTGGAAGGATCTCCTGATTGATTGATCTCAAATAATAAGTTAAATACAGTGTTGGACAAAATACTCAACAATTTTACTTGAGTAGAAGTATTCATACTCGTAGTCAAATTTTTTATTTACTACAAGTAAAAGTTACTCGCTCAAATATCTACTCAAAGTATTGAAGTACTCACTTTTGAAAATACTTAACTTTTCAAAAGTACTTTTATCTAGAAGTGCTCAACAATTCAAAAACGCAAATTGTTTTTTTCCCCCCTAATCTCTACATTTCTGTATTAACTGAGTAATTTAAAGAACCTTGTAACTTTCAGAAACTACTTGATGTATTGTAGTGTAGCACTACTCTGCTACAGATTCTACACTACTTGTAACAAAGGATGAAAATGCCACAAAAAAGAACAGCCAATTTAATTATTATTTAAAAAAAAAAAAAAAAGTTTTATCATGACTCTCCTCACACTTTCACTATGGAATAAAAGGTTAAGGTTGAATCTATTACCAAAAAGAAACCACAACTTGGATTTGAGAACTCTTCCTATTGAACAACTTGGCCACATGGCAACAACTCGAGGCTTGATATTACCAATATGTCTGCCTTGAGTTTCACATTTGTGGAACATCATTAAATATCTTAAACAGTGGTGTCCAAATTCAGTCCAAAGGGCTACTATCGTGCATGCTGAAACTGCATTTCAGGAAAGAAAAAGGGCAACAGTGGATTACAAAGCTCAGCTGAGCCAAAAGGAACAAGGAACTAGCAGCATGTAGTGGAGTAGAAAGTACAAAATTTCACTTTGAAAAGTAGTGGAGTGAAAGTTATAAGTTCCCAAAAACCAAAAAATAAAGATAGTCAAAGAAAATGACTTAAGAACAATAATCAAGTAAATTTACGTTACTTCCCACCACTTGTTAAATGTCACAAGTAATGCACCTAGTTCATTCTTTTGCCCACTTTGTTAGATGCACTATCACCACAAGGAGCTAGCTGGGCTCTCAGCATGATGCTACCGCTATCGTACTTTACAGTTGAAAAGAGGTTTTGGTTTAAAAGCTTCATCTTGTCCTCTCTAAACATACTTCTTGAAATTAGGACCTTATAGATTAAACGTAGTCCTGTCTGACCATAAATGTAAAAAGTTGATAAATAAATAAAAAACCGGCCAATTGGATCTAAAGGGGCTGAATTTGAGGCCGGTGACACTATATATCTGAATAAATAACTCTGGCTCACCATAGATGGTAACACAGCATCTTCCTGTTGATGACAGAGCCAGCCTTCTGTGGTTTCTGAACATCCTGACCAATGGTGATAATTTCAGTGGGAGGGTTAAAATTTTAAAACAATCTCTTAGGATAATGGAGATTCATGATTACTTTGCATGACTTATTTCTTCATTTAAAAAAAGTGCCTTCTTTTAAAACGAGTCAATGTATCTTCCAGTGTTTGGTGTGATAGTTTAAAATGAGCATGATTGTTTTGTAAATTGGGGTGCTTGTACTTGATGCCAGAGAAAACAAACAATGATTTACAGTCATTGCCAATCACTGATTGCCAAAGTTATATAGGAAAAAAAAACTTTAAAGTAGAAAGATTAAGTAAATGTAAATATATCAATGTTTAAAACTTGAATTTCTTTATAAAGTTTAATAAGTGATGTTTTTAATAAAAAGATGAGCCCATGTATTTATCTTTTTAACTGCATTTACAAAAGCACATGAACGTTTAAGAAAAATGCTTGAAATAAAACCGCAAATCAGGTAACATATCATTTAGATGAACATATTCCAAAAGTATTCATAACAATGTTGGTATTTCAGTGTGTATTTATATAATTTACAGTAGCTCTACTTCAGTGAAGTGTGGGGATACAGGGGATACTAAGGGGATATACATTGACCAGTTCAATGTTTTTCCATGGTGTTATCATTTACCTTGTCTGCCATGAAGTCGGAGCACCCATCAATGTCAAATTAAGTTTTTTTTAGTCTAATGAACACCCAAAAATCTGCTTAGACTTCCCTGTAAATCTTAGCATCTACTTTTCAAACAAGTAGTTGCTACGTTTGTGTTGAATCTGTCCTGTGGTGGCTTTTAAATTGGGCCATCCAGGGAGTTTCCTAGGGCAGCATTAGAGAGGAGAGCAAAGGAGCACTAGACAAACACAAAATGTACAAAATTTGGTCTCATGCTTAAACAGTATTTTGCTGCATTTTAATCTTATTTCAAATGTTTTTTTCAGATGCTTGCAAGATAAGTAGTGCTAATGTAAATTTAGTGGTCCCATCCAGGCCAAAACAAAATTGATTAAAGGCCCAAAAATTACTACAGACGTTCTTGCCACTGATATATGTATACATCTGATGGGAATGGTCTTATATATATGTATTATGTGTACATTAGGAGGCTGCCTTTAAAAAAAAAAATTTATTCTTTCAATTGTTACTAAGGTTATACAGTCGCTTGTATGGGAAGAAGAAGCGGGAAGAGCCGGAGCAAGACTTACCAGATGAAATCAGGACGACCTGTCTTCAGTTCACCAAATACCACAAACAGCAGTGTTGTCATGATATTGTTAAAAAGAGAAGGTGAGAGCTGCCTTTTTCTGAGGTTGACTGAAAACCATAAATGCATGTGGTCTCTGGTGTGTGTTTATGAGACATCATTGGTGGTTCTCTCCAAATCCCAGTAAAAGCATCCCTAAATACTGATTCTCAGACAGCGCTTCTAGAGTGTTTATGATCACTTGGCTCCTCCTGTGTCTGTTCAAAGCAGCAGCCCTACAGCTGACCACTTTTTTTTTTTTTATTGTTCCAGGTGTGGAGTGATGACCAGGCTGGACTGTTTCCTCGGCTGTGAGATGGTGGATTGGCTTCAGCAGGTGGGCTTGGCGCAGGACCGTGGCGAGGCGGTTCTCTACGGGACACAGCTGCAGCAGGGCGGCGTGCTTCAGCACATCAAAGAGGAGTACAGCTTCGAAGATAGCCAGCTTCATTACTACTTCACTACATAAAACCAAAGCATGGCAGTTGACTCCGATTTTATTCCCAAAGAGCGACATTTCAGTCAGATGGAAACGTCTGCTTAGTTTGCACACTGTACAAAGCAACTGTGATATTTCAAATGTGTTTAATGCTTTGGTGGAGATATAAAAAAAAAAAAAGGGATACATTAAATAAGGGGAATTTTATTTCTAACCAGCTCAGGTGTTTTATCTAACATTTCTAAAACAGATTTTCAGCTGCGTTATTTAACTTTGTCTCAGTTCAGACGCTTATGTTTTCTGATCTTAGTTGCTCAGTAAGCCCTTTTAGTGGACATGATCAAAACCCCTTATTTGGAGGTGAAACTGGATGTGCATGCACTGTAATTATTGCAGTTATCCTTGGTTGTGTGGGAATTACTTGGTTTTTAGGGGCTTACCAGTCTGTGAAGAAGAGCACAAAATCCCTTGGTATATTTTCATTTAATATTTATGCAGTTGTTGCATATCTCTTACCACTGTGACTAATGATGCACAAAAAAGCTAAGCTTTCATTGCAGGTAAAAATGCTGCTATCAGCTGAATGTATTCAACGTAAAAACCTATGCAGACATTGTTGCTCCTATATAAAAACCAACCATAAAAGCCACTTGTTGGTCCTCGGGCCCTCTAAAGTGCCTCTTACTTAAAGTTAAAAAATGAAATAGAAATGAACCAAAAAAGGAAAGCAATACCAAAGGGATATTTTTAGGTTCTGCAGACATTTTCATAACATATTTACTGATTGTCGTGACGTCTTATGAATCCTTTTATGCGGTTCTGCTGCACATTATCTGCTTCATTTTATTTTTGATTGCCTGAATCTAAATAGAAATAATTCTATCCTCAAAAAATGTTTTTGTTCAGAAACTTTTTTTTTTTTTTAAGAAGCAAGGTCAAAAGGGTCTGAAATATAAAGGCTGCTGACCCCGTCCTAAAGGGAAAATAAGTTTAACTGTCCAACATTTAACTACTAATTTTAATTTTTATTACCAAATGAAATGCGGGTATTGCTGCTTAAAAATCTGCCTTCTCTCATGACTGTGGGAAGAGTTTACTAGTAATATTGCCAGTATCTGAAAATGTACTTTTGTAGTGTTTTACAGGCCATGTTAGCAGTGTTAATAAAAGTTAAATATTTACTATATTAAACTTTTTTATAGTTGGACATAAACCGGACCTGGCAACATTACAGAATGCACTGAAAGTCTTTCATTTTGCACAGTTTAAACCACTGGAACATAAGAAAATTGGTCCTTACTAATTCAGTATAATCTTACAGATGTTAAGTTTGACCATAACATGCTTGTATGTGTTAATATAAGCAATATAAGTGTTAAATATTTCATTAAAAGGGATATAAATCTTTTTTTTCTTTTTCACATTATGCATTGGTTTTGCTGTATTTCTTTTAGCACATGTTTGCAAAGTCTTCATATTTGTGCTAAATTGTGCTAAGCTCCCGGTCTGTGTTTGTGATTAAATGTCTGGTGATTTAATTTAAAGACCTGGATTGATTTAAGCTGAAGACCAAAGACGATCAATGTCTGAACGGACGATCTGTGATAATTGTTACCTGGTAGAAAAAGGCTTTGAAAATGCTTGACTAACCTCCATTAAATAATAAAATGTTAATTAAAAGGTTATTGATGCCATTTTATTTAGGAATTTCAAATACAAAGATTTGTGTTAAATTGTCCTTTATTAATTGTTTTGTTGGAAGTTGTTTACAAATCCTTAATAAAACTTCCAGTTAAACCTGGCGTGTTTTTTTTCCCCCACATCTGCAATGCAATAATTACCTTAAATTACCTAAAATATACATGTTTTTATCTATACAATTAGAACCACAGGTTTACTAAAAGTATTTGTTTTACAGTGCAGGATTTATGTTCATCTCTGTACAGTGATTTTACTTAGTTCATCCTAAAGGGCCTACAGGAATCGGCAGAGGGCTGCTGCCGTTCGTCATGCAGCCCTCAACTTTTGCTGTAAACACTCATCTCCTTCAGCACACATCCAGGGAACAGGTTCACCAACATATCAGGCTGCTCTATCCCCACCTGGAGAATATTCTCCATCTCCTCAACCTTCTCTTTCTCAAGCTGCCTCAAACCTTCAGTGATCTTCTGTCCTCTCTCCTAAAAAGAAAAAGGATATATTGTAAACAAACCTCTCTTTGGTAAAGAATAAGGTCAGATTGTTTTGTCAGAATTATTTAGGGTGTTGAACCTTGTAAGATTCCATGATGGCGGCGATCGGTTCGTGCTTGACAAACAATGGATGTTTGCGATCCGGTTTGCTCTGGAAGCGTGGCTTCTTCTTTGCTGGATCATCTGGACCAAAGCTTGGGGATGACGTCTCCCCCAGCTCGTGAACGTTCTTCACAAACACGAACGGCTTGAAAACTGACCTGTTGAGGAAAGGAGGGACAGTAAATCTTCTGTAGCTGCAGTGTTTTCTCCGGATGAGCTGCAGCCTGCCACCTCTCAGGGTCCGGAGTTGCGGTGAAGTAGTGAACCCCTGGCAGAGCCGGATCCCTGGGTACCACAGACACCATGCTCCCTGTTGTCATGAACATGCCCTCCATGTTGATCCCACTCTCTTTATCTCGCAGAATATCCATCATTGCTTCTGCGGTTATATGGCCTTGGAAAAAGAAAATTACACTGAAACGTTTTTTTCCCTGTCACACATTTTACCTTACCTTAGTGACTTTTAGAAAAACCAACCATTTCTCTTTTCCAGCAATCTTTTCCCCTCACAGTAGCGAGTCCCAGCAGACTCTATCCTGGCCGTGGTCAGAAAGGAGTAGACTGTAGCAAAGTTGAACTCTGATTCCCCGTCCCACCAGCCTTTGCTTCGAGCATATTCCCTCATTTCTGGATGCTCCTTGTCTATCTTTGTGGTTATTCCATACTGGTTGGAGATGTTCCGATATCCACCTGGAAAAAGGCATAAAGAGATATTTGCACCACTGAGGATACAGTTACAGGTTCTTGCAGGAAAATAAAACCGTATTCCTTAAAGATTATATCTGTGAGATGAATATAAGTGCTTGCAAGAGCATCCAGTTTTTTATCTTTTGGAACATATTTCTACTAAGCCTTTATAGAACCTTAATCAAGTAGTTTGTCATGTGTTACCTTACAAAGAGACCTTTTTTTTTTATTTAAAACCACACACCTGATGGTATTCTAATGGGATTTAAGTACTGGACCAATCAAAGTTTCAAGGTTTGCACATCTAAAGGGCAAATTGTTACAAATAAAGTTCTACCACAGATTCTCATTTGTATTTAGGTCCAGACTTTGACTAGAAAATGTTAACTCATGAATACCATATAATCTAAACTATTCACCAGAGACTTTTTGCAGGTTTCTTTCCAGGACTGTTCTGTATTTACATTACCTTCCACTCTCTCGGCTGCCCAGTACTTCCCAGATGTTTCCAGCAGCCAGGCCTCTTTCCTGTCTGAGATGAGGAAGCTGTTGTGGTAGGTGAATCCACACTGATCCTCCAGACATGGGCCTCCCTGACCGTACTTCTCCAGCAGCTCGGCGATAACGTCAACAGCTTTCTCAGCCGTGTCAGCTCGTTCAAGACCAAGTCTGTAAAACAGCAGAACCACAAATCCGTCTTCTACCCATTGTTTCAAAAACCTGACAAGAATGAGTTGAACACCTGTGTCATTTTACCGTCTTCATTAGAGCTATTAAAGCTACTCAATGCTCTTAGGCTGTGAGCACCAATTTGGTCAAATAGTCAGGAATCTTGTCTTAGCTGCAGAGAGATTGTTTATCTTTGGTGTTTTTCAGCTCTTAAGTTGAAAGGAACAGCAGTTCCCAGTGAATAAGGAATGCTTAATAACAACTTTTACCATTAGGAATGGTGTTATGTTAAGCATTTTCTCATAGGCTGAGAAGAGTTTGCAAAGGTTGTGAATTATTGTGGACAAGCCCGTTCTTTTCAAATGTGAATAAAAGCAGACAAATATTTTATCCACAATGACACCTCTTGCAAATCGTCTCATTTTCATTTTAGAGAAGCTTATGTCATTGCTGGTGTAGGAGCCTGAATTTATACTTTGCGATTTTCTTGGTATGCGTTGTGGTTAATGTTTTGTATTTTGTTTTTCTTGCTAAATTAACTTTTCTTGAGATTATTAAATATTTTTGGGAATTCATATTAATTTGGGGAATTTGGGTATTTAGCTATTGTTGTTATATTGTTATTGCTTTCATTACTTCTTTGGTTTAAGATTCAAACGTGTCACTTTTTAAAGATGATGCATCATGGGAGTTTGGTGGTTGTGTATCTCACAGATTGTCGCCCTTATTTTTTGTAATCATGTCTGGCACCCCTTTATCCTATCTACTCACTAAAAAATGTTTAAATGCAATTACGTCTCTGTGGATTTCTTGGACAAATCATCTCGACATCTTGTCTTTGGAAATGTTAATGGCGCAGCGAGTCAGGCCGGCTTCACTTATTTTTGAACCCTAGAGCTGGTATAAAACACATTTTCACTTTGAATAAAAGTAGATAACCATTTGCCAGGGGTATTCACTGCTCGGGATCGGAGAATCTGCGAACAGGGCAGCTTATTTTTCTTTAACACAGTAAGAAAAAAATAAAACAATGTTTATTTTTTCTTTGCCTTCACAATTATGCAGTACTTTGAATATTATTGTGACAAACTCATCACATTTAATTGATAAAAGAAGCAAAGAAAGGGATAAGACTAATAAAAATATTTGCATGGTTCTACTGTACAACTAAGTTCCTGACAAAGAGCTGAAGAGATTATTCATTTTACCTGACAAGGTCCATTCCCAGCAGAGCCTCCTCACCATCAGCGCTCTCTCTGCCCCAAACTGCCTCATTCCCAATGCACACCTGATGCTCGTTTGCACCCATCTCAGCCCCCCACAACCATGCTGGCTTGCTCAGCACAACTGCATAGGTATGGGATGCCTGGTCGATCTGGATGTATGTGCACTTAAAAAAATAGCATGAGGTTAAATAAAACATGTCTGATACTCAGTAAGTAGCAGCCATGAGAAACCGCATGTCTCCTACCTCGACCTTCTCATCTGGACCATAGTCCATGGGAGGGAAATAGACAACCTCCTGGACTTCATCACAGGGTCTGTCTGAGTTCTTCCCGAAAATGATGCGCTGCCCCTCAGTGGAAGGAGGCAGAGCCACGAAGGTGTCACAGGAGGATGGAAGCATTTCAATCACAGACTAGTTGGAAAAATTGTTACATTTATCACAGAGCCATCCTATCAACATTTAAACAAACACAATCACTTAGGAAAGGCAAACGGAGACTCCATAATACCTGGTCGGTTGTCTGGCAGCTGTCAGTATCGGTTTCTATTCTTGCTTTGCTGCAGGATTTCAGGTTAAAGCTCCAGGCGTTGACACGGAAACAACACGGTCACGTGACTAAAACACGAAGTTAGGCTTAGGATCGCAGTACCTTCACGGAGCCCAGATCTACCGGAGATTTTCATTTGAACATGTAATTAGTGTTCTGAACAATAGTAACAAACAGAGATAGCTAATAAAACAGACTGCTATAATTATAAGCTAAGATTACTTAATTAAAATTTGGTTAATAATTGATATATAAAAAATATATATAATACATTTACATTTTAATTAATTATATTTTCCCGT